GAGCTTAAACCCGAGCCAGGATGGGCGGGAGGCAGAGGCGTAAGGAGTTCGGAGTCGGTAGATTGAAGGCGAGGGCGGGGCTTGAGTGGCGAGATCAGGACAAGGTCTGGGGACCCCACTAGGGGAAGGGCTGAGAGGTGAACCGTGCAGGGGGCAATGTGTGAGAGCAGAGCCTGGGCAGGGCGAGGGAGGGAAGGAAAGTTTGGGGGACCGAGCAAAGGGGTGGCAGGAGAGAGGGAAGGGGCGATTTGGGACGGGGCACTGACTTGGCAGGTGGAAATCAGGGGTCATGGCCAGTAGATAGGTTTCGGTAGTCGCAGGACAGAAGGGTGTCTGGGGGCGGGCGGGAGCCAGTCTGGCACATGGAAGGGGAGGGGCCAAGGGTCTGGAATCTGGGATGTGAGTGGGGGAGGGGGGGCGAGGGAGGGCGAAGCCTGGACCTGGTCGCCAGACAAGGTTGAGCAGTAGCAGAATAGGGACCGGCCCGGGGCCGGGAGGACCTGCTGGGCCGGGAGGAGGCAGTGGAGGGGCCTAAGGGTGAACGAGAGCTAGTCTGGGGGAGGGGCGGGCCTGGGGCTAGGGAGACGGAGTAGGGCCGAAGGGGCTGGGGGAGCGTGAGAGGGCGGGGACGGCTCTGGAGGGACAGCAGGCCCGAGATCCCTGCGGAGGTGAAGCCTGGAGCCGGCTGGAGCGGATTTCTCACCCAGACACTCAGTAGCCCGCGGGCCAGCTCGGAAGCCGGGGCCGCACACACAACGGAAGCTGCCTGGCGTGTTTTCGCAGCGCCCAGGAGCACAGGGCGGGGGCATGCGACGGCATTCGTCCACATCTGAGAGCAAGGAGGGGGCTGGTCAGGAGGTGGCCCGGCACAGCCCCCCGCCCGCCTCCGTCCACCCACTCTGTCCAGCTCACCAATGCAGTGTGTGCCCTGCGGGCTGAGCCGGAAACCGGAATCACACGTGCACGTGTAGCCCCTGGGTCGGGGGATGCAGCGTCCCGGGCCGCAGACCTGGGGATTGCGCTGGCACATGCCCGCGGAGGGACCTGGGGATCCAGTCAGCCAGGGTTCCCCCATCTCTTACACCCCCGTCCCACTTGTCCCAGCACAATCCTCAGATCCTCTACCTAAAACACCTTCAGGGATGTCCCTCCCCAAGCCCTGTGTCTTCACCTGTGATCATTTCTTTTATGGTGGGAGGTTCTCATCAGATCCCCTCCCTAAATTTTCCCATAATACCACCCCAAAGTCTCATTTTTAAATATTTTGCTCTTCAATTATCTGCCTCAGGTGCGTTCTTAGTGTCCTCATGAAAATACTGATTTGCCTAACATTAACTGAGCACTTACTCTGTGCCAGACACTTCAGAGATCACTCACTGAATCCTCACAATGATTCCTATTTTACAAATGAGGAAACTGATTTGCCCAATTAACAAAGAACTTTAAGCCAGGCTGTCGGACTCCAGCTCTTGACATAACCACCACCCAACCCTCCATACCTTTATCTCTTTTTACCCTCCTTAGTTCCTCTGGCTGTGGCATCCCCGCTTGTCCTATCCTTGAAACCTCCTTCTAAGACCCCCATCTGTAATACCCCGTCAATGCCCTGGATTCCCTCTACCAAACCTGGTTCAGGAACCTCAGGACCAGTCCAGGCCGGGATGCTGGGTGGGGGAAGCTCAGGCCCTGGCCGAGGCTCAGGCCGGGGTTCTGGGCGATGGGTGGGCAGAAAGCCTGGTAAGGAAAGGCTGTCATTGAGTGGAGACCTGGATTTCGGTGCCCCATTTCCTTTCCCTATGGGACTGGGGCAGCCCCTAGAGACAACACACCCTCCCCCAGAAGCCAGCTTACCTGTGGGTGACCGAGGGGTGGAGGGTGGGGCACGGGGCTGGCTGATGGAAACTCGGGGTGGCTCCTGGCTCAGGGGTCTGGTGTTGTAGCGGAGGTCAGAGGCCGAGTAGTGGTAGCCAGGGCCAGCAGGACAGATCTCCCGAAAACCCTCTGGGAACAGGAAAGGAAGGGAGAGGGACAAAAAGAGGGCA